GCTGTGAGCCCCGCACGTGCGGCAAACTCCCCCGCATGTGCTGCAGAATGCCCCCGCACGTGCCTTTTAGGCAGAACCAAACCCAAATTTTTCAACATTTGCCGCACGTGTGGCAGTGACTCCCGCACGTGCGGCGATTCCCCTGTTTTGGTCCGAATTTGCAACAAAAACACAACTTTTGGTACATCTTCTCAAGGCTCACTTTAACATGTTCAATTGATAATCAATAACTTAAAATCCATGTTAAGAGAACCCTCAAATACATACATTAATCTGGTTAGAACTAGTTCTTGAATTCTCACCCACAATCTAATTTTCTTTTTACATCCAAAATCATATAACATCATAACCATATATATACACTGCTGGAAAAATGACTTTTAGCGGCGTTTTAAAAACGCCGCTATATGTATGAAAAACGCCGCTAATTCCTTTAGTGACGCTTATCACCAAACGTCGAGGACGCGGCCGTCGCTATAAGTTTATGACGCTTTAAAAACGTCGTAAAATTAGTATAGGCGGCGTTTTTAAAAACGCCGCTAAATGCGATAAATAATGATAAAATGACGTCATCCAATATTTAGCGACGTTTTTAAAACGCCGTGATAGATTTTTTTATTTTAAAAAAATGTCCGTTGGCACTGTAGTGGCGTTTTGAAAAAACGCCGTTATAGCTCTTTTTTTTTTAAAAAAAATTATTCTGAATCTGTTATATTTAACTAAAAAACATACCTGTAATAAAGCTGAAAAATAACAATAATATGAATAAAATTTTACAGCTACTTCAATATATTGACTAAATAAACATTACATGTTTGATGGTTTCCATAACGATTCCCCTTGCAGTAGAAATTTTCTTCCTCCTCTTGATGATTTCAATCGAACAAACAATTTCCCAAATATCCCATTAAACAACTTCCCACATTATCATCTAGCTTTGAGTCAATCAAAAGAACAAAACTAGAGTAATGCACACCAGGTATATTACAAGTAAAATGTATTCTATAAGCTTGAAAAACAGTGCCATCGGGTTTTAATCCCCATGTTCCAGAGAGTGCATGGACACAGGTTGTCCCATGCAATTCCTTCCTTTTTGTTGTTCCTAAAGACAACACAAAGAAACACAAAATAGCTTTAACACACAAGATGATAAACATATTAGCAAAGATAGATAACTAAAAGCTCAACAGCCCAGCCTAAGCGTACATATGGGCTATCATCCAAGGTGCAATTTTTTTAAAAACCAGTAAACACCCTGCAAACAGCATTGAAATTGAGAAGAAAACCAAAACAAACTGAATGGTGTAACAACTTGCAAAGGCATCAACCATTACTAATGCTATCTACTCTAGGGTATGGAGGATGTAGCATCAACGCTTTATCATGTCTGTACATATACTAGCAAGTACAAGCAGATGGAGGTGTAGTTGAACTTTATTGTTTTGAATTGAAATGCTAGCTAACAGTTTGCTAACCAGCACTAACATCTCACTAGATTTTTCTATTACTGCTCAACTATCTACTAGAGTCAGATTTTGACATACTAGTGCATGTCAGTGCTCGATTTTACAAGCCATGTCATTAGTGGTGGATATGTAAAATGAAGTGATATGTGATGCACATTTACCTATAATAAAACTAACACATATAAAATATTAACTCCCATTCAAACACCTGTAATGAAACTAACATATAAAATAATAACTCCTATTCAAATAACAAATGAAGCATTAATTCAATTTCTCATTCAATTAATATTCAATCACCATTACCCACAAAATAACATATATCCAAAAATCATATTTTAACATTAATCACAAACTAACATATATCTAAAAATCACAGCGCACCAAAAGATTCTTTCCCAGTAGAAAATTGCCAATGTTTTCTATTTCTAGGTTCTTATCTGATTCTAGTATGTCTTTAGAATATGATGAATACAAAATCACAATCCATTCTAAGATATTAATACATAGCTGGAAGTACATCCTTCTTTTCCTCTGAAATATTCCACCTTCTCAGCAAACAACTGAAATACAT